CAAATATTACTGAATACTACCAGATATTACTGAATATTACCAAATATTACCAAATATTACCAAATATTTCCGGATATTACCAAATATTATCAAATATTCGGGAATGTTACAAAATATTACCAATATCACCTTCCAAATAATGTTTAGGAACCTGATAAACCACATTAATTATTACTAGTTCATACAGGTAACCACCCTTATCACTATCATCAATTATTATTAGTAGGAATATCTATACATATTTCGACAATTAAACAGAGGTCGAATTTTAAATCGATCCAATTATAAATTTCTATTCGTTTCTCACACTTGGTTAGCCCCATCTTTCAGTTACTCTCCAGAGCAATATGACACTATACAAACAAATTTCTGGTGAACAGGATGATAATTGAAGTAGTGTAAAATTGCAGCGGTGTCGTTATGATTCCGTTTGAGCAATTTTGTTTTTTCGACATTGTTCTATACGGTTCTATATCGTGATCATTTTTCGAAATTCTTTCTTGGACCATGAACCATCATGCTCGAAAAAACAAATTATGAAAGTATTTGAAGTTTATTTCGTTTATCAGTTTAGTTGTCGAAATATATAGACATTTCTGCTGATAATAGTGGAATTGATGATAGTGGTGAGTGAGGTTACCTGTATACATTGGTAATTATCGAGGTAATTAATGTCATTCATCAGGTACCTATCATTATTTTGAAGGTAATATTGGTGGTATTTCGTGATATCTGGTAATATCTGGTAATATTTGGTATTATTAGGTAATATTTGGTAATATTTGGTAATATTTGGTAAAATTTGGTAATATTAGGTAATATTTGGTAATTTTAGGTAATATTTGGTAATATTTTGTGGAATTTGGTCTTATTTGGTAATATTTGGTAATATTTGGTAATATTTCACAAAATCAGTAATATTTAGTAATATCTTGAGTATTATTGGTATTATGGTAATATCCCCTAAATATTACTGATATTACCTGATTTGGTAATATGGTGTACACAATTTAGGCAAGTGAGCCACCCCTCGATATCGACGCTCCAAATTTCACAAACCTACTTCATACAATAACTGAGATATTCAGTAGGCAATACTTCCGTAGCCACCCGGTATATTTTTTTAATGGAAAGCGCCGTATAAGTATTATGAAAGTTATGAAATCCCTTATATCATAATATATTTGAAATCAGGATGAATTGAGGAACTCAAATCTATAAAAATATACGGCGCATTCCATTTGAAACCAAAAATAATATTTTTCGGTATATATATTGTATTATTGTCAATATGAGTGAAATCTGTATGAAAAATTGTATAAAATCAGCTTCTAATTTTTTTGAATGAGTGGAAAACAAAAAAAGATAAATGGGGGGTTATTCTTAATAAAACTGACCCAGTACAGCTATCCTGTTCGTAGATCACAGAAAGATATCAATAAACTTAGTCAAGATGGAAAGGTCAGTAGAAACTATCAGGGATATGTTTGGCTTTATCACATTTTCTCTCGAAAACATGTTATCATCCTTTCATCCAACCGTGAAAAACGCAGACGATCGATAACGATAAAGACGTAAATATTGACTTAGTATGACTAGTACACACGTATACCGAGTGACACAGGGTATCGTGCCATTCATCATATTACAATCCGTCAATCCGAAAATGCCAGAAACTGGTTTTCTTAAAATCGAACCCCCCTATATTTTCAACATATTCGAGATCAACAGGTCAAAATTAGTGCAATCTGTATGTCAAATTTCATTTTTTCGAATTGAAATTGTTAATTTCGGGACACCCTGTACAATTAGTGTACATGTATAAAGGCAAATTTATGCACGCCGCTCATTCATTAATCTGTAGTTTCACAATAATTAACGATTTCACTAATGCAGCCAAATTCATTTTTATCTTTCATTAACTATTCGCTAAAAGATGATCAACTTTAATCCCTTCTTTTCCAAAATGTGGTTGAAAATTCAGAAAATTCTAGTTGCCTGTTCAAATTAGACATCGAAAACAATATGAATAAATTACCTGAGGACTGTTTTGATCATGAAGAAAAGTTCAAAGTTTAAAAAAAGGTAGTGCATAAAGGCATCAAAGTACTTGAATAATAACAGTTAATGAAAGCAACAGATTAATGAAAAAGTGGTGTGCATAAATCCACCTTAACTATACCAAATTTCAGAAAAATCCGTTTACGAATGCAGAAGTTCCAGGGAAGGCACGATGCCATGAGTCACCCAGTATATACGTATTATATATTGGAAAAGCGTGATTGGTCGAACATATTCGGTGTGTTTACCTATCCATTGGATTGACAGACAGATAGACGAGGGTATGTACAGCGATAAGTGCTTCTCCCATCAACGCAGGAAAAGGGAGGAGAATAGAATAGAATCGATATTATGTCACAGGCATGTTATTGAATATTATCGATGGAATTCCGTGAACAAGCACATACAGTATGTCCCAACCTGAATAGCAGCACCCTTGTATTGGTTAACTGGTTTCGATTTTTTTTTTCTAAACATTCAAACATTCAGTTTGTCTTCTTTTCGATTCAGACCATCGGCATTTTAGAGACGGCCGAATGCGAAACATCATCATTTAACTTCCATTCGCAACTGCGAGTCAGGATTCCAACCAATCATAGCGCCGCTTCCTGTGCCCTAATGAAGTTTCGCACGATAATCAAAATTAGTCGGCCGTTTTCAAGCGATAACAGCATTCCTGATTAAAATCGCAGCTCATAGGGAAATTATCCCGAAATATTATTCGAAACAACACGATAGGAATAAAAAACAATTCGGGTGAAATTAAAACGGAAACACATTTGTTGACTCTCATTTATTCGTGAATACTTTTTGGCGCCCAACGTGATAAGTTAAATTCATGGTAAGTCCATGTCTCAACAGTAATTCGCAGTCAAGTAATTCTGAATGAAAAACAAAATCATGATTACTTCAACAATTTGACAAAAAATGTACCATCATTATGAGACGAGCATTTTCAGTATTATTCTTCGCTATTGCCCTCCATGCTCCATTATTATTACACTTCTTCGAATTTTCATATGAACAAATTAAGAAAGATCCGTCTGTGTGAGAATTTGGCGCCCAACGTGGGGTTTACGTCCAAATTCAGCAATAAAACGAATCCAACCGAACGTACGTACACATTGTGACGTTTTGGCGCCCAACGTGTGATCCCGATTGTCTTTACGACAGTCTCAGAGCTCTAATATAACGCTTTACGACTCCGCCAATATAGAAATCTAATTACGGGCTAGATTAAGCCCCCATCGCATCCACCAATAAAGGTTAAGTGATGTTCTTTTGTTCGATCGATGGTTTTTCATTAAAACACAATTGAAGGCTGTGCATACACGAATTAACGAAGGGAGGAACAATTTCGACAGGATGGCGTCACATGGATTTCACTCATAAATTGAAAAGACCTGTTTGGCCGGCGATTGTTTCAATTGATAGAGAAAACGAAACAGTTGTTCGATCAACAGTTAGGAATTCCACAACTGAGGAAGATCAAGGCAAAATACACACGAGCTCATTCCGGTTCGTGAATTAAAAAACAATGAACGGAATCGACCTATGAGCTCATTGACGATTAAGAATATGCAACTTTTTAAATTCACGTTTCCGTTTTTTTATTATTCAAGTCGTTGACATTGATGAACGATCTTGGAGCATGGAGCAGACGCTTTATCAAAAAAATGCGACCTAATTTTTGCACTCTCCAAAGTGAATGCATCTCTATACTTTTTCAGCTGAATCCATCAGGAAAACCCACAACAGCGCGTTTCCATTAGGGCAATTTTTCGAGCGACCTTCGCGATAGCTCAAAGGTCGTTCCGCACGACATTTCAAGACTCGTCTCCACGGAGTACTTTGGATGGACGGATGGCTGGTTTGACATTTTCTTGTGCCCAAATGGGCGCTGCTACTTTGTTAGAGTCCTCAGAGTCAGATGTGCAAAAAATAAAAAGCACACGGGCCGTTATGCATTTTTCATTGATGCTCTCTATCTATAGCCCAGATGCAGAGACGAATTTAAAACATTCAACAGGTCCTAATGGACATTCATAATCTTTGCTATTTCTATGAATAGGGTGTTCCAAAATTCAGTATCGAGATTTTATATGGGCGTATTTTTCATGTTGAAAGAAGGCTTTTTTCCTCCTATGGGCATGTTTCTACAAACGCTACCTTACTGATACAGACTGATTCAAGATTTTCCAAGTTTTTTTTTGGAATAGCTCAAAACTATTATCTCGACAGATTTTCGAAAACTTGTTACAATAAATGACAAAAATTCAATGTTAGTGGCTGTCGGAAACGTCAAAAAATAATCTGAGTAGGAATAGAATCAATTAGGTAGAAAAATCATAAATCATTGAAATAATGACAAATTCAGAGCTAGTTTGCATTAATTTTCATGGAATCATTTTTTTTTATCCCATTATGAACAACTTTAGATGACGCACATTTTCACCGAATTTTACTTTTTATAGCTTGAAATTCATGCTGATCACGAATCTTGCGATTTTTCAGGAATTAATCTTTTCACATTTTTCAGAATAACTACTATAGACCAAATAATCAAAAAAATCATAATGGTATACTTTTGTACCAAATATTTTTTTTTCTAACTTAAAATGATATGCTGATTCCGAATTTGAAAACATTTTGTCCCTAGTCCTGACGGTTTGTCCCAAATATGTTTTTCCGAAAATTACTTCTTCTCTAAACGACATAGGAAGTGGAATCCGTCAATATCAACTTTTCACGAGTGAAGCATCAGTTCCATCTTTTGTAATAACTTTAAGGCCACTGTTTTCTATAGATCTGACAACCTATAGGTCATTATAAGTGAACTCTCCCGATATATACGAATATCCAACTATATAATTCCACATAAACAGCTGATATAAAATGAAGAAAAAAAGATCTGGTTCTCATCAGTGTTCGGTACTTACGATTTGTGCTTTGAGATCCTTGGCACAGAACGGCGTCAAGTACGGATGGATGCTGAGGTAACGTTTCGGCACCATCTTCAGTCGAGCGGTCACGTGTCTGTAATCCAAAGGGTCGAAGAATGCTGTGGGCGCGTGCAGAGGCGAACAACCGCTATCTTGTAACACGACCATTTTGGCATATACGAAAAAACGCGATACACCCAATCAGTCCATCATATCGATTACGAAAATAAATAAATGTATCTGCATACAGGTATAATAGTCTCTAAAGCTTCGGTTGGTCCTTGTTGTTGTACTTCGTAAATGGAATTATCACAAAAGTTGCTGTCTAGAATCTAGATTATATCACACACACTAAGTACATTCATTAGATGAATTTTCAATTTAAAAATCTTTGGTTCGACACCTGTGAAGGCACTTGTAGTATCAGTTCTTTCTTAATCCACTCTGTATCACAGACCGACTTCTTCTCACAATGTTACTGTTGTTGCCAAAATAACGCTAAAACCAAACACAAAACGCTGATGACTTACGTTAGATCAAGCACAGCTAGGCAACATAAAGCCTCGCATGTAGTTGATCCAAAATAATCAATCACTTTTCAATTCAGATTCAAAAGTTGACAATACGTAAAACTTCTCATGAATCGAAATTCTACATTCATTTCATAGGTCAATCACACATTTGCTATGCTCGAGGCTATACCTAAATCTAGAAAAGTTTTTGAAACTATTCATTATCAATGACTCTTCAACAAATTCTTGAATCTACAATTCAGAAATTAAATTTTATGAGAATTAATGACGGCACAAACACCCCTTGGGTATAGCAACTGTGCTTGGAATATTTTTCGCAACAAGAACGAAACGTGGGATCGTAAAAAGGAAATCTCGGGTAATCTCTGGTGGAAACCAGACACTATATAAATCATGATTCGAGTTGTGCCACCAGTGGCGTAACTACTATACCACGGAACCCCGGGGTCGCAGGCCCATTGCCCTGTTATCAATAATCTCCAAAGTGATGGAGAAAGCCATCGATATTGAGCTTATCAAATATCTGGAGAGCTCAGGAATCATCAATGATAGACAATACGGCTTTCGCCACAAAAGATCTACTGGAGATCTACTTGCCTACGTCACCCATTTATGGCAAGCTTCATTAGAAAAACACGGTGAATCTCTAGCTGTCGCGTTGGACATATCGAAAGCATTCGACCGTGTTTGGCACGAAGGACTCCTTCACAAACTATCATTATACGGCTTACCACCTCAGCTATGTCATCTCTTATCGAGTTTTTCTTTCAGGCGGATCGCTTCACGTGGTGGTGGACGGTGTATCGTCTGATACCATTGGCATCAATTCCGGCGTTCCACAAGGATCAATTTTGGCACCAACATTATTCCTTCTTCATATCAATTATCTGTTGGGAGTAACAACTTGCCCCATCCACAGCTTTGCGAATGATAGTACCCTCCATACTGAGGATAGTGAAAAACTATATGAGAAATAGTTCAACACAAGATCGGATGAGCAGTTTGTCGTGATATGAACGAAATGCAATCAATAAAAACATTAGCATATATAAAAATATGTAAAAAAACATTAATTTTGAGAGTACAATACATTTTCGACAATATCGAATATTGTTATTGAAAAAAGTTGACTAAAATGGAAAACTACGTTCAAATATGTGATTACATCTGTCTAGGAAGAAAATCAGGTTTTATAATTCAACAAATTTTACATCTGATACTTGCATTCTTGGTTTCAGGCCTCACAGAGCTTGTTATGGATAATTACTTCTTTCCGTGAAATTAATAACAAAAACATTTTCCTTATGAATCGATCAGAAATTGTAAAAACTAATAAAACCTGATTTTCATCGTAAACAGATGTAATCAGATATTTGAACGTAGTTTTCAATTCTAGTCCACTTTTCTTCAAAATAATTTTCGAGATTGTCGAAAATAAAGGTATACTTTACTCTCGAGCAAAGGTAATATTTTTTGATATACCTCATATTCGACTGGAAAAATTCGATATAGTTTTTGCATGTGTTTTTTCATACTGTCTCATCGTTATTTTCTTTTCCTTGGGGAAAGTTACGCCACTGTGTGCCGCCCTTATATAAAAATCAGTATTTATGAAGGAAACATTTCTATTGTCTTACAAAGTTACGCGTAAACGTCTTGCGAAAGGAGCGAGGAAAATAAAAAGTATATAGCTAGAGCTAGAATTTTCACTCGATCTCCGGGAAATTCCCACATTCGAAACAATCGGAAATAATATGTTGTTCAGACAGTCATAATATACGATACGAGACACAAACACATGTTGAAATTCGAGAGGAGTGCAAATACACGCCTCGATAGATTCATCTGGTGCTTTAACGCCCTATCAGATTACATGAATGTGTATACGAAAATGATACCTGTGTATCTGTGCATTGCTAACGATGTCATGATAAAAAATTCAAACTATCAAACAATTCACTGAACCTTCCAGTAGTCGCACGCGGAGTATCACTCCGCACGAATATAAAACGTGAGATTTCTCGAATATTCTTCATTCCCTCATTCCGCCGCACTCAGTACCTTCCTAAAATGACGACTTCAGTACGAATCGAGTATTACCGATGAGCAAACTTGAATTTCATAGTGTAGTGCGGAGTCGTACTCCGCAGCGACCTTAGACGTCTTAGTTATATTGCATATTTCAGTTAAACTTTGCAGCTATTTTGGGCGTTTTAGGCAAAATTTTTGTCTCATTCATTTGCAGAGATTGCCGATGAGTCATTGGTGGTTTGAGATTGAAACATTTTCAGTTTGTTCTCAAATTATAGTGTTTTTGTTCGAATTCTAGTTATCAAATCTTCGATAGTTGTCCTATGGTAATTTTGGGTTTTGTTATTGAATAAATATATTTTTATTGCAATTTTGACATTTTACTTCGTAGAGATATTCATGTCCAAAGGCATACTGATGGAATCTTTGGAAAAATTCAAGTCATCATGTTCAAACCACCCAAATTCTCCATTGCGGAGCCATACTCCGCAGCGACAGACTATGTCCTTTTTAAGGCGCGACTACTGGAAGGTTAAAGTAACTGATGATATTTTTTTCAGCACGTGATATCATTCGATTTTGCAAGCATGACAAAATTAGCTTATTCACATTCAGATTTCCCCACTTCTATACAGTCATCCATAATGCTGATATTACTTTTGGTAACTGATATTGCGGTATGATATTCGCCTTATCGAAAAACAAACACACACAACTTCCTTTAGAAATACCCTAACCGACAACAGTCCTTGATGCTTGATGGAAACTGCCATTTTGCCTGTCGCACGTATAAAGCGGACGAAATCGGAGCAAATATTTATTCAAAAAAAGACGTCTTGCGACATTCAAAGGAAGTAGCTGGATATTGAGTTTATATTCAGGAAACGCGGTTAACAAGTCGAGATCCAGATTATATTGAATTCTCACAATTTCTCATTCTCAATTGTACATATATCATCGCTAGCCCATTCATCAAATTAGTTCATGAAATAAAGTTACTTGGCCATCAAATGAAAACTCAATTTATACATGATGATCCTGTTTTATTTTTCAATCATTTTGGAAAAAAACCTGTTTTGCACAACTTCGAATCATGTTTTATTTACAAATAAAACTGAGTTACGGAAAGCAGATTCGTTTCTTGGAACTGTATACCGAGCCATCATATTATACTATAACACAGAGTGCTCGTGATAATTCGCAAATGACAATAACATTTTTGGCATTATCGTTTGGATCATAGAAAAGTAGGTAGATATGTTTTTGATTGACAACGCTCGAACATTTTGTTATAAACAATTGGAATACGACAGTTGTATAGATGCTCCATGGCAGATACTAAATCAATTTACAAGGTGTGAATAGCCGGCAACGAAAAAAAACATGAATTCATAAAAAACAGTGTTTATGAAGTTTTGAAGTGACGGTGAGTCTTGAGTCGTTCACTATTTATTCCGTGAAATTATCAGGTACAAATACAGAAATTACAGAACACTATTATTGTTGCCTAGTCGAGTTATCGCCTTCATCAAAAATTCACGAGCACTCAGCATATTGATGATAAAATATTCAGCGCTCCGAGTAAACACACACATATACACAAAAGGTTATAATTGAGATCATTATTCAATCGATTCGGCCATTAACAAGGTTCTTGTTGTTTGCTTAAAGACGTTATTAAAACTTCGATATTGCACCTCGAGAGTCGACTTTGGAAATGGAATGCCTTTTATTTTCAACTCAGCCCCAATAAATAAACTTCGGAAACTTAAATAACGTTTTCACCCTTAGTCTCGTTCTTCTCGTTAGATAACTTGTTTTTATATAGAGGTCCAGAATACATTTGAGAATTCAACTGGCTGATATTCTTTATCGAAATACTTCTGTTTTTTTATTCTGTTTGAAATTTTCATCGTCCATTATCATTTTGTATTTTGGTGGAAAATAGTCAAGTTTGGATGGCCACCATTTCAATTATTTTCAAATATACTAATTTTTGGTGGAGTTGTGAACTATACACCAATTCTGATATTATCAAATAGACAGGAGACGATCACCAAAACTTTCAATGGCTCAATTACCACGCGGGAAAGACAAATTCAAGTAGTTCAACATTCAAACTCGCTTTATATAATGAATCACGCAGGAATACTTGCACAACATTACGGCCATTTTATGAATATTTGAATACATTCAACGCTATACCGAGAATTCAATAATGAATTGTAAATGCCTTGATGCTTGCCACAGACAGCAATAACAACATAATTTAACACGGACTTGAATGATTCGAAACCGAATTGATTGAACTGAATGCCTGATGACAGTTGCCATGTTACGAACGTAAAGAGTATATATACAGGGTGTGATTTAATTGATGGCTAAAAATATAGGATATGGCTTCATAGCTCATTCTAAGAAACGTTTATACAGGGTGTAACTGAATAAGTGTAAAACATTTAAGGAGATGATTCCTCATCGAAAAAAAGATAGGATCTTTCATATAAAGAAACTTCATTGGAGCATCCCTTGTTAAGATACAGCCCCTTAAAGGGGGTACATAAAATTTCTCGTAAAATTTGTATAACAATTTTTTTCACAAACACTGAAAAAGTTACAATATTGAAATTAACCTGACGTTTTGTACTACCAAAAAGACACTTAGCCAGTAATTTATTTGGTTTACCCCATGGTTGTAAGGGGTGAAAAACGCAACCCCTAAAATTTATTTCCAATGTAACTTTTTGTCTTATTATTTGTTTACCATTTAAAAATTTATTTCCGATAGCCTGTTTCATTCTAAACAAAAAATGTCTCTTGGGTTTTTTGCCCAAAATAAACCAGTAAGCAGCAAAACATTATTTTACGAACAACTACAGAGATACATCGTCATAAATGCGAAAATACGAAACTAATCTATCTAGTAGGTCGCTATTAGCGATAGTGACAATTAAATTGGTATGACGCTGTCAGGTTAATTTCAATATTGTAACTTTTTCAGTGCTTGTGAAAAAAATTGTTATACAAATTTTATGTACCCCCTTTAAGGGGCTGTATCTTAACAAGGGATGCTCCAATGAAGTTTCTTTATATGAAAGATCCTATCTTTTTTTCGATGAGGAATCACCTCCTTAAATGTTTTACACTTATTCAGTTACACCCTGTATAAAGGTATGCCCTAGATCTTTCAACTTTCGAACTATGGGGCGTTAAAATTTCATTGTCTCTTAATTATTGATTGAATGATACGTTTATGAATACTTGATCAAATGCGATTATTTTAAATACAAAATAGGGAATTAGCCTACTAGGTCAAAATAATTTCGTTGTAACCATATATGCATGAAAATGGGTTATTTTTTACGAGAAAACGGTGCGTCGGATGGAAAAGATTATGAAATGAAAGGGCGTACATACAATATTTCTCCAAAAAAAATCTCCAGTTTACATCCCATACGGACGCCACTGGTAGGAATATTGAAATATCTCATGCATCAAAAAATGACTATTGGTGCTTAGTAGGTGCATGTTAAATTTCATGAAGATATCTAGAACAGTATTGAAGTTATGATAAGAAAACTATTCTTCTTGAAAAGTCAACACCCTATAGCTCGAAAGTTAAGAGGTTTAGGTTTCTTCTCAGAATGCGCTAAGGAACCACAATAGTATCCAATTTTCAGCCATCAATCGAATTACACCCTGTATACATATCCAGAGAAGGTTCTGTTGACGCCTCGAACTTCTCAAGCGTCATTCTGAGAGATTGATTTTCACAAATGGCGCATATCCTATTACCACAAGACCTACTTTGATTGTGTTTCGTGTCGTTTCGTGACACCGTACGGTGTATATCGTGACGAGGAGTGATGAACAGCCAGACAGTTCGAGCTTTTGATTAATATCCCAGTGTCAATTCCGCGATGATGAGTATTGCGTCACAAAAAAAAGTTTAGTATTCATCAAGTGTATACACCCCGAATAGGTATCCATTATCCGGAAAAAATGAATGATATATTTTTGGAAATCGTCCGGAAAGTCCTCACTTTCCGAAGTGGGAGTTTTGCAGGTCGCAGACTTCCAGGACTCGCCTACGGCTCGGTCTAGAATTTTGTCTACTCGTCCAAAAATAGAGTATTTTTCAGACTTGCAACGTTAATTACTATTGAATATGATGTTGGGTCGAATTCAGCCCAGCATCCTCAGGGTCATCTCTATATAGTTCATTTTTCATTTTGTGGATTTTTCTTGTTGAGGTTTGAACATCTGAGTTTTGATTGAAACAAACAATACAATTATTGAGTGTTACAGGGTGACTTGTTGTGATGTAATACTGAAAGAGCATTTGGAACTAACTATGTACTTCATCACAATGCAAATGGGCTTCATCAGACCAAGAAGAAGAATCTATGCGGAAGTGAATAAAGCTTAATTATGTCCATTCATAATCATCCATCATTTTCACTGATTATTGAAATCATTGTTTCAATCGGAATGCACTCTGTATTGTTTTTTATTATGTCTTTCAACAGGACTATACAGGGTGTCCCAGAATACCGTTCGTATACTTCGGGAGGTAATTCTTGAGATAAAAATAAGAAAAAAATTTTAATATCAACATTTGTCCGAAAATGCTTCCTAAGGGCCCTTTGAACGTGTAGGTCCAAAAATGTAGTTTTATTCAATTATTATGATTCGATCTTACAAATCATTTCGTGGTATGGTAACCAATGCTTATAAAAACGCCTCAACTCTTTTGCTTCAAGGTTCATCTCATTTCTACCACCAAAAATTTTATTCTCCTAACACTTTTATATAAAATAGTTATTTGTTTAACTAGGCAGCAAAGTAGCTGGATTCCTAGCCTCGCTACGCTCGGCTATGAATTCAGCCTCGGCAGTCAATCTACTTTGCTGCCGAGTTGAACATATAATTTTTTCTCCGATTGTTCATAATGATATAGGAGGATATTGTAATTGCAAATTATTACAATTCCCACAATCTCTTTATTTTTCCTGTAGTGTTCAATTAAAATGAAATTTGATAGTAATCGCAGTTGTCCATGATAATTATAGTTTGACAATTCATGAAAATTCTGACAGTTGTGCGAAACAATATCGGTATATTTAAATTATTATATAATTGACAGTGATAGCGACCTGGAAGTACTTACACCTCCAGAAATAAGGGAGGTGCCAAAAAATATAGAGTTGAATTCATTGCCGGAGGAGTCTCGAATGAAATATGAAGGAAGTTATAAACGATTTATGGATTATTCATTTTGCTGATACATATCAATCAGCAAAGTAACCACTTTGCTGCCTAGGCAGCAAAAGTAATACTTTGCTGATTGATATGTGGCAGCAAAATTGATATTTGCTGCCAATCGGAGAAAAAAGGTATTCCTGTTAGAATGCTGTTTAACGAACCGTATAGACAGAAAAAAACGTGAATTTTATAGTGAATTGAACCTCATCGATTGATAGGCGCTGATAATTTTGCGGGGAAAGTTTGTTGAGTGTGAAAAAAATGATCTAAAATAATCTGGTAAAAAAAATTTCATAATTTTGACGAATCTCAGTGTATTCCAGGAAAATGGCAGAAAACGCAGTTAACGGAAATCTCATGAACCATAGCCAAAATATTTCCAAAACGAGAAATCCCAAGGCAGTTCCACTTCCAAAGTACCTGCAACCCCCCGCGAGGGGCTCATCATCGCGTATCAATCCGGAGCGCCGAAAATCCACCCCAAAACACACCTGTACACCCCTCCCCCAAACAAAACACCAACGAGAAAATTCGAAATATATCCCCAAAAACCGAAACACATCCCCCCTCCTTTCGGAAACAATCGCCAGAGGGTGGACGACCCCTGTAGGTACGTCACACGGACGTAGAAAACGAGCGACGATCGACGCGTAATTGCAACATGCCCGAAGACGGTCTATGCGATACTGACTTCAATTCGAAACCACGTCCGTATTTTCCATGTCACATCGAGCGTGCTGTGGATCTACGCGCGCACCGTCGTCATTTGTTCTCCGACCCTTCTCTTCGGGTTTGTATACACGGGGAAACGAACGATGACGGTGATGATGGTAAAGGTATAGCAGGAAGGAGAAGCAGAAGAAGAAAAGAAGAGGAGGAGGAATTGAGGTGCGATATATTCGGTCGACGATCTGAGTGATCGGTGATGTCAGGTGTTGAGATTTTTCTTCAGCAACCCTACGCGATGAAGCTATTACCTTGGTGATTTACCACGAAGCTTAGGTGATGGTTCGAGTATAAAGGGTGTAACATTTATATTGTTGGAAACATTCAAGAGTAGTAACAAAACAGTTTTCACCTGATATTCTTCAAAGATAACGTTCATTCAATCACATTCAAGCTCTAACACAATCGTAGTTCGATTCACAAGAATTACATTACAATTTGAACACACTGTAGACTTGTAGAGGGTTTCCCAAATTGACTGAAAGATGACAAATTCATCAGACAAAAATTGTTTCTCTGGGGTCACAAAAATTGTTTTTCTGGGGTCACAAAAGTGGTGATGAAAAAGTAAGAATATAGAAGACAACATATTGTACATGGATATGGATATTTTTATGGTCGAAAATATAAAAATTTGAAAAACTAAATTTTTGGGATTTTACACACTTTTAGAGAACACCCAGTAATACTTCTGAAAAGGGACGTGAAAAGGTCTCATCACGACATTCAACTTCCGCATGTTGTCTTTTTTCTAGACCTCTCCCGAGTAAAATGTGCTTTTGTTCATTTTTGAAAAAGAAAAGAATAGAAGTTATCGAAGATATTACGACTTCGTTTTGATGAACAGGTATATGATCCTCCACCAAAAATGCAAATCAATAAGTCTTGTATGTACGCTGGAAAAAGCGTGAAACTACAAATAATCAATTCGTAAATGTTTGAAATGTTCGAAAATAACTCGAAAATTAATTCCACAATACGATTTGAAAAGAAGAAACAATACCATTTGTATATCTATCGTTGCGTCAATGTTTCGGGAATATAAAAAATAGAATTTTGGTGGAGGATCATTTCTAGGCCACCAAATCAAACTCACGCTTTCCTTGTAGTTTGGTTTTTCCTTATCATACAGGGTCAATCATGAGAGAATCAAAATGTTTGAAAAAAAAATCTTGATATCGAAACTGAACCATATTTGAAACGATAGTTTCTCATACGAATTCCTATATTGTAAATTGAGGAGAGTTCCAACATTCTCATCTCTGACTCTGATACTTCAACGGACAACACCTTATGAATCAACATTATACCACTCGATTTTCCATCGTTTCAGTCGTGAATCCGGCAGAACGGAGATCGTTCGCTATATATAAAGCAACTCACAACTCCGGTCTTCCTTATCATGCCTGACTTCCCCCCATAGGTTCTTTGACCGTTCTTCATCGAGACCAGAAAAGTTAATAACCGTACCTCGAAGTCTCACGAGCATGAAGGATCCGGTGTTGCCAAGTCTCATACCATGTACAGCTCACAAAAAAACTAAATAAACACGCTTTTTTAGACTGTTGAACTAAGAAAAGAGAAAATAAATTTAAAAAGCGTAGCCATAGAACATTAGAACATACTGTGATGGTTACGGAGGTGCTAATATTTTCTATTTTTTAGTTCGAACTTCGAAAGCGTGTTTTTTAGTTTGTTCTATATATATTTTTAAAATTGCTCACCCTGGAGATCCTGATTAGGATGGTGGAACAAAACTATAAAGTTATGATATATTGTCATCGGTCCTTGATGAGTTTCCGAAGTTTCAATTTAATTAACTATTCATACCAGTTCTTTATACCAGGCACCACCGAGTCTCTGGATGTAAAAAGTAATTCGAGGGAAAAAATAGTTATTTTTGTATCTAGAGCGCGAAATGCTACTTTGGTGATCGAGATCAGATTTTTTTAATGAGGCGCAGCCGAGTTAAAAAAATAGTCGAGATGACCAAAGTATTTCGCACTCGAGTTGCAAACAACATTTTTTTAACAAACGTCAAAAAATAAAGTTCTAAAGTAAAAATATGCTTAGCTTGATATGAAAAATAGTGTTGAACACCATTTTATTCGAGAAAACAAGAAAACAACGATCATCCTGAAGATCCTGAACAGGATAATGCAACAAAACTATTGAATTATGCTATCTTCATCGACCCTTGATAAAAAACAAGCTTATTTATAAGCATGTTAAAAAATGATATAGTAGGCTATAATCAAGTGACAGTAGGCGAGACATGCTCAATATTGCGCTTTCGCCAAAAGTTTAAATATTATTAACGTAAAATCTCACAATAGAAAATACGAAACCATAATTGAATGTACCGTAATATACGAAGAATAAAATTATGTGTACGAAGAACGGAAGAGCCGAATGTGTTGTTATTCAACTTGAACTTTCGTGAGAACTTCTTTGAACGATGTCACGGTCTTGACATTGTATACTGTAGTAGTAGAGCCGCTTCCCATCATTCGAAAAGAACTATTTTCTTTATTCTTTTTTCCAAGAGTACGTCGTTTGAAATACAGAAAACAATGAGACATCCGACATAATCACATTTCAGAGCAGACTACTTGTAAATATTCTCATCGTTTTGACGGAGTCTGTCGCACCATACAGAGCGTGCCAAAAACTCGTATCTTTTATTAGCTGAAAAAAGATAAAGAATCACGAATTGAAACGATAAAAAATTACACAGTGAATCGCATGAATGTGCATGGAACGTCCGGCAACATTATGGAAGTCACTCATACGTCCGGTGCTACTGATATCGCCAAAAACGAACGTTCGGTTTAGGCTGAAAATTTCCAGGGGAACTTTTGGAATTCAATATCTTTCAGAATTTTATGACATGATTATAGAAAAACAAGAAGTTTATTTTGACATCTTGAATACGCACTTGAAACCTTCGTAGTGAATCTAAAAACACCTTATAGAAAATTCAAGGAATTATTTGAGGTTCAAATTTTGTCGAAAAATATTTTTTCTCCCCGAGCGTCCTACACATCTGAAAAACTCCAAAGACACTAATTTTGACATGTCAAAAACGAATCAGAACTCAGATTTGGTCCTGGACTTTTTGTTAAAATTTTCAGGAATGGCAATTCATGATAATATAGGTTAGTTCAGGTCGAAAAATACCTGGAGCTAAAATCTACTACTTTTTTCCCTTGTATAATAAATAACTATTTCTTCCCGAGCGTCCTACACATCCGAAAAATTCCAAAGACACTAATTTTGACACGTTAAAAACGAATCAGAAATCAGATTTGGTCCTAGACTTTTGGTTGAAATTTTCAAAAATTAGTTCAGGTCGAAAAATATTTTTTTCCCCGAGCGTCCTACACTTCCGAAAAATTCCAAAGACATTAATTTTGACACGTTAAAAACGAATTAGGAATCAGATTTGGTCCTAGACTTTTCGTTGAAATTTTCAAAAATGGCAATTCATGATAATATAGGTTAGTTCAGGTCGAAAAATATTTTTCCTCCCCGAGCGTCCTACACATCTGAAAAACTACAAAGATACTGATTTCGACATGTTAAAAACGAATCAGGAATCAGATTTGGTCCTAGACTTTTTGTTAAAATTTTCAAAAATGGCAATTTATGAAAATATAGGTTAGTTCAGGTCGAAAAATATTTTTTCTCCCCGAGCGTCCTACACATCCGAAAAATTCCAAAGACACTAATGTTGACACGTTAAAAACGAATCAGGAATCAGATTTGGTCCTAGACTTTTTGTTGAAATTTTCAGAAATGGCAATTCATGATAATATAGGTTAGTTCAGGTCGAAAAATATTTTTCCTCCCCGAGCGTCCTACACATCTGAAAAACTACAAAGATACTGATTTCGACATGTTAAAAACGAATCAGGAATCAGATTTGGTCCTAGACTTTTTGTTAAAATTTTCAAAAATGGCAATTTATGAAAATATAGGTTAGTTCAGGTCGAAAAATATTTTTTCTCCCCGAGCGTCCTACACATCTGAAAAACTACAAAGATACTGATTTCGACATGTTAAAAACGAATCAGGAATCAGATTTGGTCCTAGACTTTTTGTTAAAATTTTCAAAAATGGCAGTTCATGAAAATATAGGTTAGTTCAGGTCGAAAAATATTTTTTCTCCCCGAGCGTCCTACACATTCGAAAAATTCCAAAGACACTAATTTTAACACGTTAAAAACGAATCAGGAATCAGATTTGGTCCTAGACTTTTTGTTGAAATTTTCAGAAATGACAATTCATGATAATATAGGTTAGTTCAGGTCGAAAAATATTTTTCCTCCCCGAGCGTCCTACACATCTGAAAAACTACAAAGATACTGATTTCGACATGTTAAAAACGAATCAGGAATCAGATTTGGTCCTAGACTTTTTGTTAAAATTTTCAAAAATGGCAATTTATGAAAATATAGGTTAGTTCAGGTCGAAAAATATTTTTCCTCCCCGAGCGTCCTACACATCTGAAAAACTACAAAGATACTGATTTCGACATGTTAAAAACGAATCAGGAATCAGATTTGGTCCTAGACTTTTTGTTAAAATTTTCAAAAATGGCAGTTCATGAAAATATAGGTTAGTTCAGGTCGAAAAATATTTTTCCTCCCCGAGCGTCCTACACATCTGAAAAACTACAAAGATACTGATTTCGACATGTTAAAAACGAATCAGGAATCAGATTTGGTCCTAGACTTTTTGTTGAAATTTTCAAAAATGGCAATTTATGAAAATATAGGTTAGTTCAGGTCGAAAAATATTTTTCCTCCCCGAGCGTCCTACACATCTGAAAAACTACAAAGATACTGATTTCGACATGTTAAAAACGAATCAGGAATCAGATTTGGTCCTAGACTTTTTGTTAAAATTTTCAAAAATGGCAATTCATGAAAATATAGGTTAGTTCAGGTCGAAAAATATTTTTTCTCCCCGAGCGTCCTACACATCCGAAAAATTCCAAAGACACTAATTTTGAC